CACATCTAATACTCACAACGACCCATCTGAAGTGGGTGCTGTCATTATCATAATCACCCCCATTTTCAAAGGAGGAAGCAGAGGCACAGAGAAGTTAAATAATTCACACAGGGTCACACAGCTAGTAAGTGATCGAGCCAGGATTCAGATCCCTTGACCTTAGCCACTCAAAGACCTTATTTTCAGTATGACTAATTTTACAGTGATACTTTCGGCTGGTTGTATGTGGCAAGTGGGATCATTTTGTTTTAGTTATTGTTTTTTAATGTTTATTTACTTTTGAGACGGAGATGGAACATGAGTGGGGAAAGGGCAGAGAGAGGGGGAGACACAGAATCCGAAGCAGGCCCCGGGCTCTGAGTTGTCAGCGCAGAGCCTGACGTGGGGCTCGAACTCACGGACCGCGAGATCATGACCTGAGCCGAAGTCGGACGCTCAAGTGACTGAGCCACCCAGGCGCCCCGCAAGGGGGATCATTAACAAGAGTTGATAATAGAACTCCAACATGGCATCGCCTTGATCAATCTCATTTCACGTGTGTATGGCTTGTCCCCTTAATCAGAGGGCAAGCTTCTGAAAGACACCATATTATTTTTAACTGAAATATAGTTGACCTACGATATTGCAATAGTTTCAGGTGTACAACATAGTGATTCGACGATTATATACATTACAAAATGCTCACTACCCTAAGGGTAGTTACCACCTGTCACCATACAAAGTTATTGCAGTGTTATTGACTTCATTCCTTATGTGGTACTTTTCATCCCCATGACTGATTTCCTTCATAACTGGAAGTTTGTACCTCCTAATCCCCTTCGCCTATTTTACCCATCCCCTTACCTCCCTCCCGTCTGGCAACACCCGGTTTGTTCTCTATATTTACGAATCTCTTTCTGCTTGTTGCTTGTTTGTTCACTTGTTTTGTGTTTTAGATTCCACGTGTAAGGGAAGTCTTGTGTTTTTCTATTTCAGATAGTGTACCGGGTCCAGGCACGCTGTCGCGAATGGCAAGATTTTATTCTTTTTTATGGTTGAGTACGAATATTCCGGCGTGGGGGCGCCTGGGTGGCTCAGTCGGTTAAGCGTCCGCCTTCGGCTCAGGTCATGATCTCGCGGTTCGTGAGTTCGAGCCCCGCGTCGGGCTCTGGGCGGGCAGCTCGGAGCCCGGAGCCCGGAGCCCGCTTCGGATTCTGTGTCTCCCTCTGTCTGCCCCTCCGCTGCTTGCACTCTGTCTCTCGCATTGTCTCAAAGCTAAATAAACAAACAAAAAAGAATATTCTGGTGTGTGGGTGTCTGTGGGTACATATACATGCTACATCTTCTTCATTCATTTATCAACGGACACTTAGGTTGCTTCTATATCTTGTTTTCTTTGGGTGAATACCCAGAAGTGGAATTACTGGGTCGTGGCATTTTGATCCTTAATTTTTTAGGAGCCCCCATTCTGATTTCCATGGTGGTTGCACCCACCTACATTCCCACCAACAGTCACCAAGATTTCCTTTCCTCTACATCCTTGCCAACACTTCTTTCTTGCCTTTTTAATACTAACCATTGTGACAGGCGTGAGGTAACATCTCATTGTGGTTTTGATTTGTATTTCCCCCGTGAAGAGCGATGTGGAACATCTTTTCGTGTGTCTACTGGCCACCCGTATGCCCTCTTTGGAAAAATGCCTATTCAGGTCCTCTGCCCATTTTTAATCAGGTATTTGTGGGTTTTTTGGTGTTGAGTTACATGAGTTCTTTATAAGATTTTAGATATTAACCCCTTATCAGATATATGATTTGCAAATATCTTCTCCCATTCAGGAGGTTGCCTTTTCGTTTGGTCGATGGCTTCTTTTGCCGTGCAAAAGCTTTTCAGTTTGAGGTAGGCCCAATAGTTTATTTTTCCTTTTGTGTCCCTTGCCTCAGGAGACAAATCCAGAAAAATATTACTAAGGCCGGCGTCCAAGAGATTACTGCGTAGGTGTTCTTTTAGGGGTTTTATGGTTCCAAGTCTTATATTTAAGTATTTCATCCATTTTGAGTTTATTTTTGTGTATGGTATGAGAAAGCGGTCCAGTTTCAGTCTTTTGCATGGAGCTGTCCCGTTTCCCCAGCACCATTTATTGAAGACACTGTCTTTATCCCCGTTGTATATTCTTGTCTCCTTTATCAAAGATTAACCGACCACGTAAGCATGGATTTATTTCTGGGCTCTCTATTCTGTCCCATCGATCTATGCAGGCACAATATTTTTGAATAATTTTTTTGGAGATCGCTCTGTACCTTCAATAGTGTTATTTGCCCACAACCAGTTTTCGATAAATATTTACCGGATGATCAAAGGGAAATACGAGAAAACCCATGAACTTTTCCACACCGAGGCATCAAAGTTCAATTTCCTGGGTCAATTCGGAAAGATATTCCTCAAGAGAGGCTATTATTTTGGTTTTCATTAACCTTTTTGTGAGCACCCACCTTATTGAGATGTAATTCAGTCATTTAAATTGAATTCAGGGGCACCTGGCTGACTCAGTGGGTAGAGCATGTGATTCTTGATCTCAGGGTTGTGAGTTCAAGCCCCACGTTGGGGGCGGAGCCTACTGAATGACTGGCTCCTTTCGCTGAGCCTCATGTTTTCAAGGTGGTATAATCCATGCGATGAACTTTTATTTGGCAATAAGAAGGAATGATTCATTAACTCTTTTAAGCAACCTTTTACTAGTGTATTGCAAGATTTCAGACATTTATACCTTAAAACTCATTTCCATTGTTCTATTGTGCTAAAATACACATAACCTAACGTTTTCCATTTAAACCATTTTCTTTGTCTCTTTCTTTCTTTCTTTTTTGGTTCCTTTCAACTGTTTTAAGTGTACAGGTCAGTGGCACTAAGGGCATTCGCACGGTTGTGCCACCATCACCGCCCTCCATCTCCAGAACTTTCTCATCATCCCAAACTGAAACTGTATGCGTGAAGCAATGACTCCCCATTTCCCCCTCCCCCAGCCCTGGCAACCACGTGTCTATTTCCTGTCTCTATGAACCTGACCATTCTAGAGACCTCCTAGAAGAGGAATAATAATACAATCTTTGTCCTTTTGTCGCTGGCTTATTCCACTTAGCGTAATATCTTCGACGTTCAACACCGTCGTAGCACGTGTCCGAATTGCCTTCCTTTTTAAGACTGATTAACATCCCATTCCACCAATCACACAACCCTGGGATCATGACCTGTGCCGAAGAGGGTCGGATGTTGGACGCTGAACCAACTGGGCCACCCAGGCCCCCCTTTTTCCTGTTGTTTAAAAAATAATAGCCATCTGAATGGCTGTGAAGTGGCATCTCATTGAGGTTTTGATTTGCATTTCCCTAATTATTACACCTTAGTTTTTAATAAATCCTAGGATCGAGAAACACCTTAAATGATTTAAAAAATCTGTTAACAAAATGAATAATCCCCACGTGTGTCTAAAAGCTATTAGATGTAGTTTGTTCAAGGTCAAGTATACCTGTAACTGAGGAAACTAGTTGCTTCCATAGTTTAAACACAAATGTCATAGGCGCTGTGCTGGACACACTTGTCACAGGTTAGGCTCCCCAGGAAGTAAACTCTGAGGCAGAGCTTACAGTTCTTGATAATCTTTTTTAATGTCTATTTATTTTTGAGAGATCGCAAGTGTGTGCATGGAGGGGAGGGGCAGACAGACAGGGGGACAGAAGATCGGAAGCGGGCTCTGTGCTGACAGCAGAGAGCCTGATGTGGGGCTCGAACCCATGAACCGTGAGATCATGACCTGAGCTGAAGTTGGGCGCTTAACCGACTGAGCCACCCAGGCGCCCTGGGTCCTTGATAATTTTTAAGAGTTTAAAGGGGTCTGAAGAGTAAACATTTAGAGAGTCCCTGGTCTGGAGCATACTAGGGGAAGTAAAACCCACTCAAAGTCACTTCAATCAGGGGCGCCTGGGTGGCTCAGTCGGTTAAGCGGCCGACTTCGGCTCAGGTCATGATCTCGCGGTCCGTGAGTTCGAGCCCTGTGTCAGGCTCTGTGCTGACCGCTCAGAGCCTGGAGCCTGTTTCAGATTCTGTGTCTCCCTCTCTCTGACCCTCCCCTGTTCATGCTCTGTCTCTCCCTGTCTCAAAAATAAATAAAACGTTAAAAAAAAAAGTCACTTCAATCGAATATTTATCTGACTACCCAAATTGGAAGACTCTCTCTCCCTCCCTCCCTCCCTCTCTCTCTCATATCTCTATTCCTTTTCCCACTTTGCACCTCTACCCCCAGCATATGTTTATCTCACCTTCTACTCCATATCCTTTCTGCGGCCTACAAGAAATTAAGTTTTCCTGTTTCCTGTTTTCACGAAGACAGACCCAGTATGTTATATATCATTTGTTTTTTTTTTTTTTTAGAACTTCTGAATCATAGAGAGGCATTTGGGGATCATAAATGCCAACAGCCAGGAATGTATCGCATTTCCTCTACATTGGAAGTGGAAATGGCACTTTTGCATGAAAGAGATTTCAAAAATATCAACCGCATCTCTTTAAAATTTCCTGTGAAAAGGCAAAGCGTCTGTTCAATTGCTATCAAAGATTATAGTTGAGCGAGGCCCATGTAAAATATGGAAGTCCGACACCCCTGTTTATTTCAATCCAAGTGTGGAAACCACCAGAGAAGAGAAAAACACCCAAAACTCCACCAAGGGCCAATGTTCCTCCGGTGACACAATCTATCTTGAGAGACTGTCATGCTACGAAGGACACAGAAAAAGTAAAACTCTGAAGTAACAAGAGTAAGGGATGGCCAGGGCAAAGACCACATCAGAAGAGGGCTTCTTTTTTTGGTCTGGGGAGTTTTTGCTTTTCGGAAACATCTATGGGTTGCTTTCTCCAGGCATCATACAGGCGCGCGCGCACACACACACACACACACACACACGTACACGCACGCGCGAGTGCAAACAAATCCACAGCTTGCTAAATTTAGTTGCACCTCTGTCACAACGATGATGACAAAATGTTCCTCTGACCGCAATGTGTTCAAGCGCAAATGGTTCCTCTTTCCAGGTTCTGGTTTGTACATACACAAATTCCTAGCGAGGTGACACCCATGTTCCGACAGCAGTGCTCCTGGGCCCCAGCTGGATTCTACAGGCGAAGGCACTGAGGAATGAGACTGTACCCGAAGTGGTGAGTTCTATGGCTTTGTACCCGTTTCACAGACGCCAATGAGCCCAGCTGACCCAACCGTACGGTGGCCAACCTAGAGTGACACGTAGGGTTCGCTTCGTGCCGGGCGGTGCCTCTGTCACCCTGTGGAACGGGCATCAGGGGACAAGGCAGTGCTGTCTTGCCTCCTGACCCCGCTGTGCCACCACGCCCCTCCACAGTGACTCGCTTCCCGGAGGGGCTTCGCCATTGCATCTTGCACACAGAGAAGCCTGGGGATGAAAAAGTAAGAGGAAACAGGAAACCGAATGGTAGTAAAGGAGAAATGAAAGAAAGCGGACTGAGAGCAAATGGGACAATGTCAGCAGAAAGGAGAACAATAGAAGCGGAACCGTAAGAGACGAGGGAACCCTAAAGATGAAAGAGTACTAGAACCTTCTAATAATAGTTCCCATTTATTAGTGTTTACTGTATGTTAGGCACTGGATTAACATTTGGTGTGAGCTTCTTCATCTCGTTGAATCCTTACAACTAAACCCCGAAGGTACAACAGGCTCTTGTAAGGAGAAACAGACTCCCAAGGGCCCCACAACATTGGAAAGAAGTCAAGAGAGGAAAGGACAAAAAGAAACAGAAAAAAGCGGGACAAATGGCACAAAATCAGGTGGTTGAAAGAAGCGTAAATGTACTAGAACTACCGTCTACAGGGGGCGCCTGGGTGGCTCAGTCAGTTAAGCGTCCGACTTCGGCTCAGGTCACGATCTCGCGGTCCGTGGGTTCGAGCCCCGCGTCGGGCTCTGGGCTGATGGCTGGGAGCCTGGAGCCTGCTTCGGATTCTGTGTCTCCCTCTCTCTCTGACCCTCCCCCGTTCATGCTCTGTCTCTCTCTGTCTCAAAAATAAATAAACTTAAAAAAAATAAAAAAAAAAAAAGAACTGTCTACAGAGAATTTGAGAAATCTGCCATCATGGTATCGTAATGGGAGATTTTAACTGGTCTCTCAGCAACTGATAAGTCCAATGGGCAAAAAAGAGCAAGAATATTAATGTGACCAACAGGATTCACAAATTTGACTTAACGGACACAGGTAGAACACTAATAATTTGAGAATACAGTTGCTGCTGGAACAGCACAAGTTTGAGCTGCGCGGGTCCGTTTGTGCGCGGATTTTTTCAATTAATACGGCAGAGTGCTGTGAACGGATTTTCTCTTCCTTATGATTTTCCTACAAAGATTTTCTTTTCTCTAGCTTCCTTTATTGTAAGAAGACGGTATATAATACATAAAACATACAAAATGTGTGCTAATTGATTGCTGATGTTATTGGGAAGGCGTCATATCAACAGTAAGCTATCTGGGGGGAGTAGGCTAAGTGTGGGGGGAGGAGTCAAAACTTATCTGCAGATTTTTCAACCGCCCCCGGGGATGGCGCCCCTAAGCCCCACATTGTTCAAGAGTCAACCGTATACGTTTTCCTCAAACGCTCATCCTCGAACGCGGACATTTACGGAAGTAAACGATACACTGGGTCACAAAGCAAACCTCGTCAAATTTGCAAGGATTGGTACCGTCCTGGAAACTGAGGCCGCAGAGGAGTTTAAAGGACTGGCCTTCGCTTCTGTGGCTGAGAAGTGGCAGCGAGGCTGGGCTTTGGTTCTCAGCACAGAGTGCACACGGCCCCCGCAGTGCACACGCCCTGGCTCAGCCCTGGGGGTGCCACCAAGTAGGGAGGGCTGCAGCCACGCAGGGGTCTGGTTCCAAACGGCACAATCGGAAAAGGCGATCCAGGTGAAGGGACGAGGGAGAGATCGGCCAGTTCGGGACTAAGGAGGAGTTTTGCTGTTCCCACTCCCCCTGCCCCTGCCAAGCCCAGTGTTTTCCAAGTGAACCCTGAGGCCTCAATTCCTTGCTTCTTTAGGGAAATGACAGGTAGAAAGGCAAACTGACTTCTGAGCGTTGATTCCTCTGCACCGCGTCACAGCTATGCGAATGGCCTCCTCCGAGAGGCAGAGAGAGGGGGACACAGAATCCTACCAGGCTCCAGGCTGTCAGCACAGAGCCCGATGCGGGCCTTGAACTCAGGAACCCGCGAGATCATGACCTGAGCTGAAGTCAGATGCTCAACCAACTGAGCCACCCAGGCGCTTTGTGAACGAGGGGGTGGCTAAGAGGCCAGAGGGTCTGGAGGTTTCTAGGTTCAGATGTAAATATTGTTTATCCCACATGCTTCAGGCAAATGAACAATGGAGACTTTCCAGGGCAAGAAGGTGCAGAGAACTAACATGCAAATGAAGCATTTGAATCTTTAAACCGAGGAGTCTTGAGGCTGAGATGGGAGAGACAGACACTAAGGATAGCTAAGTGGTGACGCAATTAAAGGGCTGCCCCTTAGGGGCGTCTGGGTGGCTCAGTCGGTTAAGCGTCCGACTTTGGCTCGGGTCATGATCTCACGGTTTGTGAGTTTGAGCCCCGTGTCAGGCTCTGTGCTGACAGCTCAGAGCCTGGAACCTGGAGCCTGCTTCGGATTCTGTGTCTCCTTCTCTCTCTGCCCCTCCCCCACTTGTGCTCTGTCTCTATCAAAAATAAATAAACGTAAAAACATTTTTTTTTTTTAAAGGGGTTGCCCCTTGGGGCGCCTGGGTGGCTCAGTTGGTTAAGCGTCCGACTGCTGCTTTTGGCTCAGGTCACTGTCTCATGGTTCGTGAGTTTGAGCCCTGCATCGGGCTCTGTGTTGGCATCGCGGGGTCTGCTTGGGATTCCCTCCCTCCCTCCCTCCCTACTCCTACCCAACTCTCCCTCTCCCTCTCTCTCTCTCAATAGAAATAAATACACTTAACAAATGCTTTAAAAATTAAAAAATAAAGGCTGCCCTCGACAGTGTGCAAAGATTAGACAGATCGTGGCTGGGCCAGGGTAGGGGGCAGGGCCTAAGTTGGGTTAGGCGCAAGGTTGGGGGAGAGGGTGCAGTGAAAGGTCGTGGGGGGTCCTGGCTGAGATGCTGGGGTAGTGGCAGCAGTGAAAACACCCCAAACCCAGAGCCAGAGGTGGGGCCCTGGATGCTGACGCATGGAGGCTCTTCTTCCTCTTTCGGACACCGAAGTGTCGGAAAGCAGAACAAGGCCGATGCCAGAGAGGAAGAGCTTGCAGCCTGAAGGGAGTGACTGGAGGGGATATCGCACGCTTTGAAGGGGTGCAAGAAAGAACGGGGTGCCAGACCCCAAGGGCATGCTCTTTCACAGAGGAGTGGGGCCCAGGGAAGAACCAACCTCACGGCCCCTGGGGTTTGGTGGAGGAGCCCGAAGTTGGCCTGGCGGCCGGCTCTGTCCCCGAGTGCGAACCCCTCAGTCTTTCTCCAGCCTTCTCGCCTCCAGGCAAGAATTAGGGAAGTTTTCATAATTCAAGAAAACCAGATCTCCCAAGTATCACTTTTTAAAGATTTTTTTAACTTAAAAAAAATTGTTTCATCTTTATTTATATATGAGAGAGGGAGAGAGAGGACAAGTGGGGGAGGGGCAGAGAGAGAGGGAGACCCAGAATCCGAAGCAGGCTCCAGGCTCCGAGCTGTCAGCACAGAGCCCGACGCGGGGCTCCAACCCACCAACCACAAGATCCCGACCTGAGCCGAAGGTGGACGCTTAACCGACTGAGCCACCCAGGCGCCCCCCCCCCCCCGAATATCACCTTCACAATGTCACCACCTTGCTCGTAAAAGTCTTCCGTGGCTCCTTATTGCGTATAAGATCCAGCCATAAAATGCTGTTCACTTTTTCTCTTTCTCTTTCTCTTTCTGTCTCTCTGTCTACCTGTTTGTCTCTCTCAAGTTCTGGTCATCCTTCAAGGCCTAGTTCAATTCCCATCTAGTCCAAGAAGTCTTCAAAAACAGTTCCCGCCACACTGGACTGTCTTGCCTTTCTCTGAGACCCGTTTCACAAACGAACGTGTTTGCCATTTACATTTGTTTGTTTGTTGCATTTTCCTTAATTGTCTTCTATACCTGTCCACACCTGAGACTGGGAATCTCCCAAGGTCAACGGCAAGAATGGTTGCGTTTTGTTGGTTGGTTGGTTGGTTGGGATCCCTGAGAGCACTTGGCACAGTGTGATTTCTTCATTTGTATATTTATTCCCATCTTTATTGTGTATGAACTACGTGTCAGGTATAGTTCTCAGTGCTGGGGATACAGTTGAGAACAAATCAGAAAACACGAAGCTTACATTCCGGTGTAACGGGGCGGAATGACCCAGAAAGGGGGCTAGAAGTGAGTGTCGGTGGGGCTTGCAATTTTCCACGCGGTGGCCAGAGCAGGCCTCAGGGAGCCACCTAAATGAAATGATGGAGTAAGACTGTGGCTATCCGGGGAGGCTGGAGCAAACAGCAGAGGAAATAGACAGGGCAAAGTCCCTGAGGCAGGAGTGCACTTGGCTTGTGTGAGGAATAGCTGAGAGGTGAGTGTGGCCAGAGAAGCTTGCATTGGGCTGAGCAGTGGAAGATGAGGTTAGAAAGGGGGGATAGGGAAGGGCCTTGGAGGTCGGTGGACGGTTCTGAGCAGATGGGTGCCTTGTTGAATCCAAGAGTCCGTTTAATAGCCACTGTAAAGTTTGGAGACCCGGACGTGGATGGGCTTCGGGACTTTGACCCAGGCAGACGTCCCAGCACCACACCTCTCTGCCTCAGGCTAAAACCCAAAGGATCCTGTCACAGGCCCCCTGTGCAAACAAGCACTCTCTTTGGTGAGCTTCACCAAACCTGTAGAAGAAAAACACTGGGCGCCTGGGTGGCTGGGTCATTAAGTGTCTGATTCGGCTCAGGTCACGATCTCACCGTTCGTGAGCTCGATCCTCGCTTTGGGTGAGCTCGAGCCCTGCTTCTGGTAAAATACGAGGCCTGGGTGAGACCTGCTTCCCTACCCCCACGCCGCCTCCCACCCCCGTCTGCCCCTCGTGGGATTCTCTCTCTGTCCCTCGCTCACTTTTGCCATCTCTCTCTCTCTCAAAACAAAAATTTAAAAAGGAAACGACTTGCCGAAGAGCAAGAACCTTCAAGTCGATGAAACCCAGACGTTGAGAGCACGACACTGGCCATGTCACTTTCACCTCTATGTTCTCTGTGGTGAAATGATCAGATTCGCACACTGGGAAGATCTGGCTCACAGAGGGGAGATTTGCAGACCCTTGCAATAGCACAAGGGAGAGGCAATAAGGACCTGATGAGAACAGTGGAGGGGAGGAAGGAGGAGACCCGAGAGAGGTTTTGTGAGATCGGCGACTGGGCGGCTGGAGGCAGGGCGGGAAAACCACAAGCACTAGATACAGGAAAGGGAGGTATCAAGGACAAGTACTTTTAGCATTAATCTCTCACTAATTGGTGGTGCGCATGAGGACAATGGGTGGATAGGGGCCAAGAACAAAAGAAACAAAGAGTCTGCTAGCTCAGGATTTCTCGACTCTGGTACTATTGTCATTTCAACTGGATAATTCTTTTTTTTGGGGGGGGGGGGGGGGGGGGGGGATGGTCCCCTGCATGGCAGGGATGTTCAGCAGCATCCCTCACCTCTACCCACTAGACGCCCATAGCATGGCCCCCCCGTTCCCCCCCCCCCCCAGCCCAAGGCGTGACCACCAAAAATATCTCCAGACATTGCCAATCGTCCCCTGGGGACGAAAAACCAACCTTGATTGGGAACCGGCGCACTAATGTCAGAAGAAGGGAAGTTCCCTATTTGCTATTTCCTTTTTTGCTTTGCCCTGCAGTGGCTGTGAGCATCTGTTGGGGTTTCGCCTGATAAAAGGTGGAAGACCTTTTGTGAGATTTTTACCTAAGGGGCCAGAATTCGTAGCTAAGCCCTTGGTATGTATGCTGGTGTCTGTGTCCTTTAGAAACTCAGGAGGCCGTTTCTAACGGGCTGGAAGGAGACCTGACCGTGGCAAGAGGAACATCATTCTTTCCCCCCAGATATTTCCTGGCCTGTGCTCTTTTCTGACTCCGCTTACAAAAATAGGGGAAAGCCTTAGGGAAAAGGGCAAAGACCCCAAAAGCCAGCTGGAGAGGCCGAGGTACATAGATCAGCCCAGAACTCCAGTCACGTCAGGCCAAGGCGAAAAGAAAGGTGATTCGCCGAATCATCAGGGCTCAAAGAATTAAGGACTAGAGCTAAACGTGATGTTGACTCATTATGACTTTGATTACACAAAGCCCAAATAAGAGCTGTTTGTGGCAGTTCCTGAAAAGTCCTCATCTTGTCCTCATCCTCCTGCAGAGCAGAGCAGTGGCCTAATTCAGTCTAAGATGCTTTTTGAGCAAAAGTACACAGAAATTACCAATAAAACATTGATGTTGAAGAAACAGCATTCCTAAGCCTCACCACCCCCTTCAAAACATTAAAAAAATTTTTTTCAAGTTTATTTTTGAGAGACAGAGCGTGAGCGGGGGAGGGGCAGAGAGAGAGGGAGACACAGAATCTGAAGCAGGCTGCAGGCTCTCAGCTGTCAGCACAGAGCCTGGCAAGGGGCTCGAACCCATGAACCGTGAGGTCATGACCTGAGCTGAAGTCAGAGGCTCAACGGACTGAGCCACCCAGGCGCCCCAAAACATTTTTTTAAAATGTTTTTTAATGTTTATTTATTTTGAAAGAGAGAGACAGTGGGAGAGGGGCAGAGAGAGAGGGAGGCAGAGAATCCCAAGCAGGCCCCGCACTGTGAGCACAGAACCTGATGCGGGGCTCGAACCCACAAACCGTGAGACCATAACCTGAGCTGAAACCAAGAGGCGGATGCTTAACCGACTGAGTCACCCAGGCGCCCCCAAAACCATTTAAAAAAAAAACATTGCTTCAAGTTTAGGGTAGAGAGGAAGTAGAATTGGCTAGAACACTCGTATTTGTGGTCAGCAGGCCAGTACCATTATGGCCGCACCACTGCCCTTTCTTTGTCTCTTGCCTCACAATGTTTAAGTCACAGGGACGTCTCTGGAGGCTAATGACAAATTGTGACCCTTATTTCTCTAATCATTTGCTGCCATTACTGCTCATTTCATTAAGCACTCACTCAAACTATGCCAGACAGTGCCCACAGTGGCACGAAGCCAGTGTCCAAGGGTTCCAGTTCCAAGTGGAGACTTCTTAAAAGGCAGATGACATAATCACTTTGGAAATGTTATTATAAACTTATTGTATAATGTTTATAGCAAATGTCAACAAGCGCATGTGTGTGGTGATGGGGGGGGTCTTAGGTTAGAGAGTGGCTGTCCTATTTGCAGGGGGATTTAGAAACAACGGTAATATCTCTCAGTTCTACCAGCTTCGGTGGTTTACAGAGTGTTTTCCTAAACATTATGTCGTTCAATAACACAAGGACTTATTCTGAACCTTGAGCACAAGACTTAGAATTGCAAGATTCTGTGCCGGCAGGCCTGCCTTCTGGAAGCCTCCTTTGTCTCTTCTCTCCCAGAGGGCGACCCCTTCTTTGTGTCCCACAGTTCCTTGCTTTTGCCTTTACGACAGCCCCCCCTACACCGGTTGCAGCTCTTCGTTGGCAGGGCCTGTTTTTAATTAGTGGCTACCACAGGGCCTGAAAGGCCAGTAAATATTTATGGAACTCGAGGGCCACAAATGTAAGAGTAAGGCCTTTGTTTCAGATACGTTAAAATATCCCCATGCCTTTTGGGTAGGGTCTAGACTAGGTGTGTTATCAGCATTGTTATTGCTATGCATTTCTTGCAACAGATCTCAGGTGCATACATTGGCTTAATTCAACCTTGGCTTAATTCGACCAGAATATACACCTAGGTTAGTAGGTCTCATCATCCATCCAGATGCGACCCTTTTGGAGGGTGGTGGTGAGAGAACAATGCCCCTCCCCAAAGATGACCATGCCCCAGTCCCAGGCAACTGTGACTGTGTTACCTTATAAGGCAAAAGTGACTTTGTGGATGTGATTAAATAAAGGATTTTCAGACGGGGAGATTATCAGGGATGATCTGGTAGGTCCAATCTAATCGCAAGGGTTTTTATAAATGAAAAAACGAGGCAGGAGGGTCAGAATCAGAGGAGAGGAGACAAGGAAAGCAGTGGCCTGAGTGGTGCAGCAACAAACCAAGGAAACTGGGAAGTCTCTAGAAGCTAAAAACAGAATCTCTCAGGGTGCCCGGGTGGCTCAGTCGTGATCTCTCCATTTGTGCGTTCGAGCCCGCATCCAGCTCTGTGCTGACAGCTCAGAGCCTGGAGCCTGCATCGGATTCTGTGTCTCCCTCTCTCTCTGCCCTTCCCCCGCTCGGCTTTGTCGGGGTCTCTCTCTCTCTCTCTCTCTCAAAAATAAATAAACATTAAAAAAATTTTTTTAAACCGGAATCTCTCTCGGAACCCCCAGAAGGAACACAGCTCTGCTCACGCCTTGAGTTTGGCCCGGTGAGACTTCTGACTTCCAGAACGCTAATAAAACTGTGCTAAGTCACTAAATTTATGGTAATTTGTTACAGCAGCAATAGGAAAGTAACAAGGGTTCCCATTTTCCTCCATCCCCAGCCTCATTGACCTTCATAGTCACCCACTTTCTGTATTCAGTGTGTGTCCTTCGGCCTAAACCGGTAAAAAAGAATTATGTAGAAAGTTGCATGTGCGCTTTTAAAATGCAAGAACTGTACAGAGTATGGCACTGTCCTTCACATGAAAACTTTTGCTCTCCCCCAACCCCGACGCCACGTCGTTATGTGTTACCAGCTTCCCAATACACCTTTCGGCCTATTCACCAAGCACGCCCCTGCGAAGTCCCCGCTGTGCACTTGGAGCCCAGTCCACCGTGGGAGGTGGGGTTGGGATTACTAAGCCTGGAGTCAGAGTTTAGGAAACTAGGGCTCAGAGGCCGACGATTGGCAGCCGCGCCTCCCGACTCCCTGGCCGAGGCTGCTTCCCGTAGGTGGCCCTCGTCCCGGCCCCGCCACGACCCAGGCCCCGCAGGTCCGCACGGAGCGGCGACGCCGGCCGGGGCTGCCT